ATTTGATAGCTTCATTTTATTTACTTCTTTTTATAGTTTATTTTAGCATATTTCATTCATAATTTAGATAATTTCCATGCATATTTTCCTTTTTGTTATTTTATGACTATTTCGGGTACTCTCGAATCTTGTGAGCATAATTGCAGGTTTTCGGGTCTAGCGGAGCGGGAGTGTTCGGGACGTATAGGAGGCGATGAGATTTGGTAGACAAAAATGACGTTGGGCTTGATGGGTAGTGGAGATGATGCATGGTGATCTTGATGATTATTTGAAGACTTGGAGAGAAATAAACTTTAAATTTGCAAGATGCGGGGGAATATTCAAGCGTACGTAAATTATTAATCGGGCGAGTTCACGAGCTTTGGAGGATTAGAGAGGTCAAATTGGGCTTAAAATGAAGAAAAACTTGAAGAAAATGGGCTAGGAGGTGATTGGATTCGACTGGGCCAAGTGGGCTAAGCTATGGAGGCCCAAAACCTCAAAGATGCTACATCCAGGGACCACCCGCGCAACCCACCCGCAGCAGCACGCGGGTCGCGCAACCTGCAGGGGCAATTTCGGAAATTCTTCTTTTGAGCTATTTGAGGAAGGTTGGTGCCCATCTTTTGCATACTCTTGGACACCGATTTTTGAAGATTCTCTCTGGAGTTTTGGAGACTTTTGAAGGCCAAGAACCCTTGAAGAACATCATATTTTTACCTCTTGATTCTTGCTTAATGTTTGGTACAAATTTCTCTAACTTTGTTTCTTTGTTTAGCCATGCTTGGCTAAGCTAATCTTGGTTGACTTTTGGTTAATCCTTTGAACTTTTGTTGAATGTTGAAGAATCCATGAACATGTTCTTGAATCTTTATGGAAATGTTTTGTGTTTTAACATCTTATCATTACTTGTATGTTTTAGTTCATGAGTTTAAATGTGTTTGTGGTGATTAGTTGGCTAATTTCTTGATTAAGTAAAGGATCCTCAAATTAGCAAGCAACAAATGATTTTTGTGTTGTTTTTGCTTCACACAATCATAAAAACATTTCCTCCAACATGGTGGTGAAAGCATTTGACCCCTCTTGGATTTGGTGACTTTTTGGTTCTTAATGCTAGTTGACTTTCACTAATTACATGCTATTTGGAATTAGTGACTTTGACTAAGGAAATTGTTATGAGCTTCTCTAGCCATTTCAACAATTAAGAAAAGTCTAGGTAATCTCAAGCTCCTTGGATTACTATAGCCAAATTGAGGATTTAAAACAAGTATTGCACCATTGAACTCTAATGATATGTTCATCAAAAGTCAAAGTGAGAAAACTTTAAGTCAACCATCTTTCCCTTATTGATTTTACATCAAATTCTTATTTTTGTTGCAATTGTCTATTTAAATCATAGTTAATTCTAGTTTGTTTCAAGTATTCAAAACACCAAAACCCCCCATTTTATTTTTATTGTTATTTTACAAGTATTTTTACAAAGAGATTTTTCATAGAGTTAGAAATTGAACCAATCTCCGTGGATTCGATCCCTTTACCACTATACACTATTTTAGTGTGTAACATTTAGGGTTATTATTTGTGTTGGCCTCGACAACCACCAGAGAGGTTCAGTTTTTGGGTCACCTCGTCAACCAGAATGGGATATTGGTCGATCCGGCCAAGGTGGATGGTGTTATACAGTGGGAGGTTCCGACGACCCCCTTAGAGATTAGGAGTTTTCTGGTTTTGGCTGGGTATTATCGGAGATTCATCCAAGATTTCTCCAAGGTTGTTGTTCCTCTCTCCCATTTGACTAAGAAGGGTATGGATTTTGTTTGGGGGCCTGAGCAGCAGGCGACATTTGATACTTTATGACAAAGATTGTGTGAGGCCCCAATGTTGACCCTTCCATAGGGGGTAGAGGATATGGTGGTGTATTGTGATGCTTCCATCACCGGTCTGGGCGTAATACTCATGCAGTGGGGTAGGGTGATTGCTTATACGTCACGATAATTGAATCCTCATGAGTCTAACTACCCTACTCATGATTTGGGGTTAGGGGAGATGGTTTTCACCCTCAAGATCTTGAGCCATTACTTGTACGGCTTCTGTTGCACCATCTATACGGACCATAAGAGTTTGAGATACCTTATGGACCAGCCGAACCTAAATATGAGGCAGGGGAGGTGTCTTGACATACTTAAGGATTATGACTGCGAGATATTGTACCACCTGGGTAAGGCCAACGTGGTGGTCGACACATTGATACGTAGGGTGGTGAATGCACCTAGTGGAGGACTATATATGAAGGTGACGATTACCTCCCCAATATTGGAGATGGTTAGGGAAGCACAAACAGAGGGGATAGGGGAGGAGAACTGGAAAAAGGAGAAGATCAAAGGTCAATTTGCCACTTTTGTCAGGGACAACAAAGGATTCTTGACATAGCGTGGTAGGGTATGGATTTCGGGTACTGGAGGCGTGAGGAAGATTTTGATGGATGAGGCACATAAGTCTCGACTTTCTATACATCCTGGTGTGACCAAGATGTATCAGGACCTGAGGCTTAGCTGTTGGTGGCCTTAGATGAAAAGGGAGATCGCATGATATGTTGAGAGGTGCTTGACTTGCAGGAAATTCAAGGCCGAGCATCAGATGCCTCACGACAAGCTACATTCCTTGGCGATCCCCGTTTGGAAATAGGAGTAGATTTCTATGGATTTTATCATAAAACTACCCCGTACTCCTCGCGATTTCAGTGCTATTTTGTTGATCGTCAATAGGTTGACCAAGAGTTCCCATTTCCTTGCTATTCATGAGGGTTCTTCGGCTGAGAAGCTGCCAAATCTACGTTCGAGAGGTGATATCTCGTCATGGATTGCCGATTTCTATTGTATCGGACAGGGATGTCCGCTTTACTTCCAAATGTTGGAAGAGGTTTCATGAGGATTTGGGTACGAGATTGCACTTCAGCACTACTTATCACCCTTAGACTGATGGTCGGAATGAGCGTACGATTCAGGCTCTGTAGGATATGTTGGGAGCTTGCGATATTGATTTTGGTTGGAGTTGGGATACCTACCATTCTTTGGCAGAGTTTTTGTACAACAACAATTACCACTCCAATATTGGTTCACCTCCCTTTGAGCTTCTCTACGGGATGAAGTGTCGCACCCCAATATGTTAGGGTGAGGTTGAACAGAGGATTATGGGGAGAACTAAAGTAGTACTCTAAACTATAAAGATAATTCAACATGTCAGACAGAGGCTAAAGAAAGCTCAAAGCTGGTAAAAGAGCTTTGCAGACCGTGTTGCTCTGAGTTGGAGATCCATGTTGGGGACATGGTTTTACTAAAAGTGTCTCCCCTGGAAGGGTGTTGATACTCTTTAGGAAGCAGGGCAAGTTGGGACCCCGATTCATTAGGCCATTTCGTGTGATTTCCAGAGTGGGAAGGTGACTTACCAGTCGGATCTACCGAAGGAGCTCAGTCAGATCCATAACACATTCCATGTTGCTTAGTTATAAAAGTGCTTGATTGATGACACGAGGGTGGTACCGCTGAATGACATCCAGGTCAACGAGCGTATGAACTATATAGAGATGTTGATAGTGATTCTTGATAAGAAGACGAAGGCATTGTGCAACAAGGTGGTATCGTTGGTCAAGGCGCAATGGCAACATCGAAAGGCTCCGAGTGGACTTAGGAACCGAAGTCGGAGATGAGGAAGCATTATCTGGAGCTGTTCACTTTGCGAACTTCGAGGACAAAGTCTGATCCAAGTGGGGGAGAATTGTTACACTCGAGTCCCTGGTAATTTCTCTCCTGGTCCTTCAAATTTTGATTTTGGCAGTTTTGGCCCTTACACGAGGCGTACCTGGATGGTATGCCGGGTATAAGGTGGTTAAGTGGAAATGACGCCATTTTGAGGAGTATGTTGGGCGTACTCTTAGTACGCAAGACGTACACCATCTGGACACAACCCTAATTTTTAGGGTTTGAACCCTATATATTGAACCTTAAGTCCTATGCCGTCATTTCATTTCCAGCCTCCATCACTTGAAACGTTGTCCCCTGCAAACCCTAACCCTATTGTTGCATTTTGAATCTTGAGAGTGTTTTTTTGTGTGTTTCAAAGGAAGATGAAGGTGGTGGTGAAGCTTGGAAGCTAAAAGCAAGCTTGGATATGAAGGTCTTGCACCATCCTCAACCTCTAGAAGGTATAAAGTTCATACATTGGTGATTAAGTTGATAGATCTTGTTGTATGTTGATATTATGAACTTTTGTCCCCAAATATGGCCTTTTTGTGCATGGCATTCTATAGAGAAAATGGGCTGTCCTTTTGGACGTTTTTCTAGGCTTAGAATGATAAAAAAATGTGTTCTTGACCCTTAGTTCTTCCCCATGCATGAGTATGATGATCTTAATGGCTTAAGATGTTAGGGTTTTAGTGATTAAGCACATTAGGCCCATGTAAGACCATACAGTTGGAAACTTTATGGTCAAAGACAACATTTGAGACTTGGATCTGTAGTTTGGTCGAAAAAGGTTTATGCATTAAGCCCTTAATGAGTTAAGAACATTCAGCTGTGTACACTGGGCGTACCAGGCAGTAGGCCACACGTACGCGATTAGGCCCCCGACTGTTTTGGCCACAATCGAGAACACCCCGCATAAGATCGAAGTATGACCTACGTACTGGAGTGAGTCGACTCGTCTAGGTTGACTCGACTGATTTATTGAGTTTGACCAATGTTGACCTAAGGGTATTTTGGACAATTTAGTATTAATTAAGGTTGTACAGTGAATTGCATAACAGGTGATGGGTAGAGCCGATGTTGGGGGTCGAGACTTATTTTAGTTTGTGTTCGGTTTGAAAGGTGAGTTCTCTCACTATGCCAATGGGCCAAAGGCACCAAGGCCGGCCCATTTATGTATCCTAAGGTGTAGGATTGGTATGATAGTTCTATGTGTTAACTGTTTGTATATATGTCGACATATGTGTGGTTGGGTTGAGGCCACGGGCTAACAAACCCGATATGGTTGGGTTGAGATTGGAGGCCAACAAACCTGGTATGGTAAGGTTGAGACCACATGCCAACAAACTTGGATTGTTGGGTTGAGGACACGTGCAAACAAACCCTGGATGGTTGGGTTGAGGTGTTACTGCTCTGTGCTGTAAACCAACAAACCCGTTATGGTTGGGTTGAGGTCAAGGACCAACAAACCCTGTATATATGCTTGTATTGTATATGTATTTGTTTATGGTTTGTGATATTTTGGGAAACTCACTAAGTTTTGAATTACAATTTAGATTTCAGTGTTTCAGGTACTTCTGATGAGCGGAAAAAAACAAAGATGTGATTATACACATTATCCCGCAGTTTATGTTGATTGATAGTTTGATTCGATGTTTGATTTATTATGATTTGTAAACAACGTTTTTTTGTAACTTTTAGACGTATAAAGTTGTGTTTTAAAAATGAAAAATTTTACTTTGATTTTTGGTACGTTGTAAAATAAAAAGGTAACATTGAATCAAATTTAAAAATTTTAAAGCAAAAAATAATACAGTGTTAAAATAAAGAAAACATTTTTTTAACAAATTGCCCTTAAATAAACACCATTTTAACTAGTTCGACCTTTTTAAATAAAATTGATCTAACCACCAATATTATTAACCTGTAACCACTTTAAAACCGTGCAATGGCTTTTATAATATTGCGGTTATTTGTTTAAATCCAAAACCGTGATATGGTACTTTGATTATCTAAAAAATATAGCACAAGTCCCTCAAACTTCATATTGCTAAACTAATCTGAATACAACAAAATTTATCATGATTCCCTAACAGGACCTTAAACTTTCAAAGTTAACAAAAAAATACATTTCAGAATCTTTACCTTTAAAAAAAATGAAATCTCGGTGTTAATGACTTAATATGTTATAAGAAAACAATGTCTTTTCGGTTACGAGAAATTAAATATCCTCGTGTAGCATCTTTATTCTTTTGGGTATTTGTAGTCTTGATTTTGAACAATGACCCCTTGTATGTTTTTCTCGTAATTCATCATTAAAAGCTAAAATAATTGTTTTTTTCTTAATAATGTTAGACAAATGACAAATAGCGGTGTCAAAATTTTCAATAACACGTATACATATTACCAAGTGGTTTTCCAAAAGAACATGATCATAATTTGCGCTTAGGTTAGTTAAATGATTTTATAATTAATCAAATGAGAAAACACAAATAATCTAGCACTTGGTTTAAATTAACATATATTTTTATACACTCTTTTAATTGTATTTTTATATTAAATTTTTAGAAACTTTTACCTTTTAACTTTTAACAAAAGTCAGGAATTAAATAAAAACTTTCATTTGAAAATATAAGTTTTTTTGGTTTTAGTTTAAATAAAAAAATTCAAATCTAAAATTATTTTATTTGTATTTATGTAAAAATTATTGAGTTTTCTTAATCAATTTTTAAAATTACAATTAAAAATATATTTATTTATTTTAATTAGTTATTCTTTTACATAACTTTATTAGTTTCAAAATCTTTCATTATTTTTACCGTAACACTTATATAATAAATAAAAAAAATATATTTTCAACTATCAGGAAGTTTTGTAAAATAAGCATAAACAATTACTTGTTGAGATAAAATCGTAAAATATTATGATTCAAATTTTTATTAAATATTTTATAATAATTATTAAAAAGTTTATTAATAAATATACATACAATTATATATACACGTACATGTATCGTATACTTTAATGTATATATACGGTCACAGTTAGAAAAAAGAGAGAGGGAGCGGTGGAGTAGATGTGCGTGTGGGACCCACGCATGAGGTAATAAAAGACAGGAGTTGGAGAAAAATGGTGGGTCATTAGTAATAAAAGCCAGCTATCAATGAAGGAAGAGCTTCACCTACCATTAACACTCACACACACTTCCCTCCCTTTTTAGGGTTTCTCTCTCCCCTTTCAAATTCTTCATTCATCCTTCTCATTGATTGAGATTGAATTGGAGTATTGTTACGTAGGTTTTTGAATTTCGAAATATAAAGCATTTTGTCGTTTCCTTTGGGAATTTTACCTTCGTCTTCGAAATTTTCGCCCCTCGGGAATTTTTGGGAGTTCCTGCTTCAGCTACTTTGTTATCCTGCAGCTTTTAGGAGGGAATTAGGGTTTTCAGCTTCAGGTTTGCCTACGTTTTTCTCTCGCTTTGTAAACAAATAATGCTGTATATTGTTTTAGAGGTTTTCGATATCTTCGTTTCGCATTTGCTTCAAATTTGGTGGCGAGGTGGAAGACATGAGTTGTATTTTCATGTTTTGTTGGATTTCTAAAAAACAAATGGAACCGGTTGAATTATAAGCTCTGTTCATTTTTGCTTTCTTCTCCATATTCAGCTAATTTGCAAATTTGAAATCAGTTTTACGAATTTCGATATCGATTTTCCGTTTTTGTTATACGCATTTGCTTGGTTCCCGTCAAGTCGGTAGCATTTCGCTATATTTTGTTTTTGGAGAAATGTGTGAAATGGATTTGAAATTTATGCAATTTTGCTAGTGTTCGGTTCATTTCTAGTTGTTAAAGCTCTGTTTCTCTTCCTAAATAGTACTTTCAACATCTTATTTTCGTTTTGATCCAGTTTTCTGAACTTGAATTTCACTTTTGCAGGTAGTTCTGTTCTAAACTTCAAAGCTTAGCGGTGCCTCTCTGCCATTAATATCCAAGGTCTGCTTCTTCTGCAATTACTCTGCTTTCCTTTAATTAATAAGGGGAATACTTGTTTGATGTACTATACAATGGTGCTAAATTTAGTATAATTCTGAAAAGGACAGCCATCCATCGTTGGAGTTTTCCTGATTATGGAGAAAACATAAACACCTACAGCTGGATTCGGGGAAAATTCTCACGAGATTTTGTTTTATTCTTATCCCCAAAAAAACTAAATGCTAACGTGCTACACTGAAAGCCTATGTGATATGTCTCACATCACCATTGTCAATATGTCATCCATCGGTGCTCCCCTGCAGATTCACATTACATAGAAATTACTCTTATTAAATCTACTTTTATTTCTTGCTATATTACTTAACAATATCTTTTGTGCATTTCCATTCAGCTAGTAGAAAAGAAAATGTCAGGCGAGAATTTCATGGACGAGATGGAAGAGATTGATTGTGGGAGCTTCTTTGATCACATTGACGACTTAATCGAATTCCCTCCCGTCAACGACACCTCTCTCAATTCCCTCGACTGTAACGAGTTTCCCAACATGTGGACCAACAACTCCGACGACTTGCAGGTCTCCGACCCCATCTTCTGCGGCAGCAATAATGATAGCGCCTCCGCACTGTCGGCAGAGCTTGCTGTTCCGGTGAGTAAATAACCAACCAACCACCATCACTTCACATTCTTCCCCTTCTTCTATCATTCTAAAAATATGGTCACCGGTCACCCACCGGAATCTGACGTCATCACTGTCGGTTCTGGACTTCTGGTGACCAGCTAATCACACGGTTTATTAAAAATGGTGTGTTTAATGATGATTGCGCACAAGCACAAGCACACCTGCACATGCTTAGTGCTTAATTCTTTTGTTTATTGAGATCGAAGTTACTTTTAGGGGTAAAGTTTCATACTTTTATCAATAACAGCTGATGATGAAGATTGATTGTTTTTAACTTTTTTTTTTTTTTTTTTTTTTTTCTTTTTACATTATTGAATAGATATTACGTTGGCATGTGGAATTTTGAATTTGAGTTAGAGGGAGCCTATCACATAAAAGCATCTTTCTTGACTTTTGATCTTCTTTCTGAAGCTAAAAGCTATAATCTTTTTTATATTTAAAACAAAATGTTAGTTTTAATTTTGAGTTAGGGGGGAAGTCCAATGAACGAAAAGAAACCTGTTTAAAAAGTGGATTGTTATGTTTTACTTTTGTGGGCCCATCAATAATTGTAATTATAGATTATTTAAAAAGCAAGGGTTATATTTCAAATTTGGTCAGATTACACGTAAAAGGAGTAAAGTATACTTAATTTGGGATGAAGGAATGAAACAGTGTTCTTGAAGAAAACTTAATTAATTGTTTTGACTAAAATTAATATGGTGCTCAATTATTGTCATTATGTCATTGAACTTACATCTTTATTTATTATTTAATTAATTTTTTTTTATTACAGTATGAGGATATTGTCCAGCTGGAATGGCTTTCAAATTTTGTGGAAGATTCCTTTTCTGGTGGTGGATTGACTATTCCGGTGGCGGCACACCACCAATTCCAGACCACCAGTCCTGTCTCAGTCCTTGAGAGCAGCAGTAGCAGCAGCAGCAGCTCCAGCTCCTCCACCTCTGGTGGCGGCAAGATGATTCCGTTCAGCCCAATTCAACGTGGGCCTCAACGGGCCCGAACCAAACGTCCCCGGCCCACAACTTTTAACCCTCGTGCCATGATTGAACTTCTCTCTCCTCTTCTTCTTCTTGCCCCTGTTTCTTCCGAATCTGAAAACAATTTTGTGTCTGATCAGAAGACGAAAAAGAAGGTGAAAAGGTCCAAGATCCAAGCGGGCCTACCAACCGAAAACCAAATTCAGTCGGGTCAGGGAGTGAGAAAGTGCTTGCATTGTGAAATTACGAAAACGCCCCAATGGCGGGCTGGCCCGATGGGCCCGAAGACCCTGTGTAATGCGTGCGGTGTTCGGTACAAGTCCGGGCGGCTGTTCCCGGAGTACCGCCCGGCAGCTAGTCCGACTTTTGTTCCGACACTGCACTCGAACTCCCACAAGAAGGTGGTGGAGATGAGAGTCAAAGGTGGGCCGAACGATGTGAGGGAGTCAGAACCAAAACCAGAACCAGAACCAGTACCAGTAGCAGTATCATCAGTATCAGTACCAGTAGCAGAGCCGAAGCTAATTGGATATATGATGTCTCAAGCGGATTAGATTTAAATTTAAAGAAGGGGTTTGGAGGTTATATTTGTTATTTGAGTTTTTTAGTATGATTTGTTTTGTTGATTGTACAGGTGTTGAAGGGTTATATTTAGGTGGTAGAGAAAGTAGAGGGGGTTTGAGTATAAGATTAAGGAGTAGGGGTTTAGGGGGAGGGGGAAGGAGAGGGAGATGGAGTCATATTTTTAATTTGTTTGTTATATTGGTGTTTTTGCAGTTGATAATAGTCCTGAGATGAGATGAGATGAGATTAGGTTCAAGGATTTTGTGATGTTTTCTTCCAATTATTTCTATCTTTTTGAAGCAAAATTTTGTCTTTTTTTTTTTGCTTTGTTGTGTTGTTGTATGTGTATTTGTACTTTCTTTTTCTTGGTAAAAGTTGTTTAAAACATTCCAAATTTTTTATGTGAATCGATAACGTATAACGGGGATAATGGGGGTGTGAGATTTTGAAAGATATTTGTATGACTATTCATGTACTCATCCCTTTGTGTTGTGGGAGGATCTCAAGTATGAATATGTACATTTGTGAGCATACATACATGCGCATTTTCAATTTGATATTCAGCCTAATCAAAAAAGAAAATTTGGTTAATTGTTATAATTACAATTTTTGTTGGGAAGATAGTTAAGTAAGAGTTAGCTATTGGGGTAAGAGTTGGATTTATAATAAGTTTATTGGCCAATTTGTGAATTAAGAGTTAGCCATTTCGGTAAGGCTGAGTTCATATACCATCCAAATGTAGTTATGCCTTATATCAGACGGTAATTTCGATCCAACGATGATCCGTATATAACATTTTTTGACATACACAACTAGGGGTGCAAACGAGCCGAGCCGAGCCCGAGCCTGGCCAGGTTCAGCTCGGGCTCGTTTAAGTTATATGAGGCTCGAGCTCGAGCTCGGCTCGATTCGAGCTTTCTTGTCCTGAGCTCGGCTCGAGCTCGTAACGAATTATCCAAGCTCGGCTCGGGCTCGGGCTCGACTCGTTTTTTATCTGACGTGCCTAAATAAGCTTAAGCTCGGCTCGAGCTCGTTAAGAAGCTCGTTTACTAATACCCCCACATCCGTAATTCCTCTAATATATTTTTTATTTTAATATATATAAATAATAATAAATTATATTATGTAAAGGCTCGTTTAGGCTCGCGAGCCTAATCAAGCTTAATGATATAGGCTTGAGCTCGAGCTCGTTTAATAAACGAGCTTAATTTTAAGCTCGAGCTCGGCTTGGACTCGTTTAAAACCGATTTCGAGTCGGGTTTTTAACGATCCGATCCCGAGTAGCCCGTGAGTAGCTTGGCTCGTTTGCACCCCTATAAACAACAAATTATGTTTACAATCGTTTAAAACATAAATTACTGTTTAAAACATAAATTACTGTGTATGAATTTGTGTACATACCACTACATTTAATATAAACACTAGGTGTGAGACCCATGTATTACATGGATTTATTTAAAAAAAATTAAAATGCTATCAGTTTATATTAAGTATTAACTGTGTATGAATTTGTGTGCTTATTAAGCACACGTGGCCCTCTACATAAATCCGTCACCCATGGGCCATGCTCCTTCGGAAGGGAAAATATTACTTGGTTTATATCATCATTAAAATGCTATCAGTTTATATTAAGTATTAACAATACATATACATCTTTATTTTTTATATTTTTCAAGTGTTTTTACATACTTAACCCTATTTTATTAAAATCCAACATATTATTACTATACTTTTGAGGGACATATGTACATATTATTATTATACTTTTGAGGGACATATGTTTAACCAACAATAATATAGATTTTTTAATTTCATTTTGGGCCTTAAGAGAGAAATCAATATTTTGAAATATATAGGCGTTGACAATGACATTGTTAACAATGGGCAAGCCCAATCTGCTTTCTTCAAAACATTTCACAAAGTAAAACGACTTGGCCACTTTACTACTTAAGAATAACGATACTTAGTTTTAATGTAGTCGAACAATTTAACCGAATAAAATCCTACAAAATAATCAAACGTTTTAACCGGAAAATCAAATTATTTTAAAGTAAGGTAAATTACACAAATGTTATTATATTTTTATAAAAATTCGATTTTGAAACTGCGTTATATTTTGTTACAATTTAATTACTAAGTTTTTTAACTTTTGCAATTTTAATAATTTGACCCATCAACACAGTTACCCAATGATGTAGCATGTTGATATGTTATTTTTTGGTGTTGTGACATGCTGATATGACATTCTTTGGTTATATGACGTTAACATGGTATCGTGACATGACAAAATTGAAAAAAAAAAGTGTAAAAACATTACGTTTTCTACTTTTTCAATTATAATACTAAGCTTTTCAATTTGGTTTAATGTTAACAATTTTCCATTTAAAAATATATATATATATATATATATATATATATATATATATATATATATATATATATATATATATATATATATATATATATATATATATATATATATAGAGAGAGAGAGAGAGTAAATTACACGAATGGTCCCTATGGTTTGGGGTAATTTGCGTGATTGGTCCCTAACTTATTTTTTTAACTCAGAAAGTCCCTCCTGTTTGCTTTTGTTACGCGTTTGGTCCTTACTGTTTGTTTTTGTTACGCGATTGGTCTCTATCTTACCTAAAAAACTATTATTTAAATAGGAAAAAATTATGGGATAGGTAAGGGGATTGGGTTTGGGGCGTGTTTATTTAAATATTATATAAAATCAATAGAAAAAATAGTTTTTTTAGGTAAGACAGGGACCAAGCGTGTAACAAAAACAAACAGTAGGGACCTTCCGAGTTAAAAAAATAAGTTAGGGACCAAACACGCAAATTACCCTAAACCATAGGGACCATTCGTGTAATTTACTCATATATATATATATATATATATATATATATATATATATATATATATATATATATATATATATATATATATATATATATATATATATATATATATATATAATGTTAATTATAAACATGTATTATTTATATTATAATCATATTTTTATTAAATACATAATTTTATTGTGTATGCATTCTACATATAAGTATGTAATTTTAATGTAAAAAATATGGTTTAAATGACGTCAAGTCACATGAATATATGTATTATTTTTTAACCACCGGTTGACTTGTATACATAATATGTAGTATCTTAAATTAAAATAATAAAGGAAACATCTTGTAGCACGTACGTTTCTTGCTAGGCACTTCTTATAAAATTTGTATCTACATCGGCTGCCAAATGTAAAAGTTTCTCCAATCTGAAAAGAAAAAAGAGTATTTAAGTATTATGTTTTATGATCATCTTAGTGATTATCGAACCATGTCATACTTGATCATCTAAGGACACCTTAGTGCATTTGTATGGATAAAAAGAGGAATCAACAATTGTTGAAATGGTTAAATCAAAAAGTAAATCATACTTCGTTCCAAAATCGAGTCTTAGAGTTGTATTAAAAAATTGTGCATTAAGTGACACATCTTTAGTAAGTTTCTAACACTCATCAAATGTAGAGAAGAAATGTTTCTTACTCTTGCACATTTGAAATTGGTAAGGTGTGATGTCTTTGATAAAACAAAGATCAACTAAAACCAATTGTGTGAAATGTTTGTCTTGATAAAAACCCGCACTAACCCTTGAATATTTGTTTGTCAAGGAATGTTTCTTGACAAGAGAGTCTTATATGACAAGAGGTCAGTGGGAGTCTTAATGGTCTTGAATAGCTTCAAGAACTAATCAAGAATAAACTTATTGTTTATCACTAGTACACGACTTGAGATTTGTAACCTATCTTGTTGACATATTCTTGTTTTTGTGCCTATTCCTATTGACTATGCATGTCAGTTCTATGAGATCTCATTTGATTGCACATGGCAAAACACCTTAATCAATGAAAGTTGTTTAATCAGTAAGGGTGATCTGCTCAACAACTTGGAAGACATGGTAAGCCCTTATGCTGCCAAGTGGCAAGAAATTAAGATTGAACAAGTTCAGTCCATATGAGGTTGAGTTTGTCAGAGACCTTATCTTATGGTAATGGTAGGAAATAATAGATTCACATGGATAGGAATACATACACCATAAAATCTAAGTTTCATAAGGTTTCTCTCCAATTCATGAAAATGATTATGAGGAAACACTTTCACTAAGAAGATTTTAAGGAGATAGCAGTTGTGTAAATTACATTCTCAAGTTCGATTATGATTACGACATCCCTCTTCATAGTTTGAATTGTGAGATTTGACAATGGTTTAAACATTTGGGACTTACCGCTATAAGTTCTTAAATAGTTTAGACACACATATGAGCTATCTAAGGAGAGGTGTATGAGTTTGAGAGGCTTAAATAAAGTCTTATCGAAGCATCTTGTATTAGAAATCAGAACTTTGGTAAGAAAATCAATAAGTATTGATTTCTAGAAGTCCAGATGATTTTTTAGTACATGTCAAAGCTAGTAGTAATATAAGTGTTATGCTAGTTGGAATGTAATTATTATGCTAGTGGGAGCATGATTATTACATTAAGTGTTGCAGGGTATGAATATCAGGTTGAAATGTTTCAACATTGGAAATTCTACATATGGAAACATTATAGCAAGAGACTTGTAAAGTATCATGTCTTTATATAATATATTATGAATTGTATCCCATATACTTCGAGTATAGGATCCATTGCATATGCTATAATATTCACGTGTTCTAATTTTCCAAATGCCTAGGGCATTAAGAGGAAAAAAGGAATAGAACTTGATATGACTAAAATAGTTAAACAATTATCAAGGATGATTTAAGGTTTGCCAATGATTTGTCGCTTGTAGGCAGTTGGAAGTATAGTAATGAATGGACCATATCGACATTATTATGAATATATATATATATATATATATATATATATATATATATATATATATATATATATATATATATATATTATTTGTATGGAGTTGGACATATATTATGTGTATATAATATTTGTATAAAAGCTTACTTTAAAACTTAACAAATAGGATTAAATAAACGTTCTATAATAAAACATTATTTATGATAAATAATTTAAACGAAAGTTGTATTAATCATGATTACAAACCCATAGATATAAATAGTACCAAAATCGAACTTCCTACGAGAAAGTTTTGATTTTTTGAAGTTTCACTTTTAACCCAACACAATAATGTGTGTCATAAAAAGAGAAATGGAGATCGAATACTTATTGGCCAAAACAATCTAAACTAGAGTTGATGTCCTCGAAAATATAAATTCGTCGATACAAAAGAACTTCGAGAATTGAGCTCGTATAAAGAAGTTAAGAATTTCGCAAAGTCATTTACATTGTAATATTCATAGAATGTAAACTAAAAAAAGAATGCAAATTAGTCGTTGCGATTTGAAGAAAGTTGTAGTACTCGTCGATACGAAGCCGGGGATATAAAGATCGTCGAAAACGGAGCTCGTATGCGAAAGATTTGATTTTTTGAAGATTCGAGAATTTATCCCGCATGAGTAATGCAACACTACCCA